GGTTTTGCTAGAACAACCCTACTTGGATGGTTTGACAGCAATGTAAGAGATCCAAAAGGGCGAGATCTTACTTATATTGACTACCCCAATAGATACACGTGGGATTCTACATCCAAAGAATGGGGACATAGAGTTTTGGAATCTTCAAAAAGTATAGGTAGACATGTGTTTGTGCATCCATCTTTAAGAGAGTTATTCTACTTTCGGATGTTACTCTGTCATCAAAAGGGATTCAAGTCTTATGAAGATGTTCGTACGGTGTCTGGTCATCTTCACCCAACTTTCCGAAGTGCATGTAATGCACTCGGTTGATAGGTGAAGACATTGAGTGGTTGACAGCCTTCACCGAAGCTTCATTATGGGATACTTCTTCACAGTTGCATTCCTTTTTCTGTCATCTACTGCTCTTTTGTGAAGTAAGCAATCCACAGTCACTCTGGGAAAGCGAATGGCAGAAAATGATAGACAACTATCTACTGAAATTGAAAATCGACTTCCCGGATAAATTCTATCATATAGTTGATGATGTGGTGCAATAAAAACTACTTTTTTAACTGGAAAACACACTCCGATCTTCTACACCTTCAAAATCATTATCCGATTTCCATTTACCCATGCCAAATCCAGCTACTCTTGCTATCCTGCAAAACCATATCTTACTAGAAGAATCAAGTTATGACAAAGAATCTTTGCAACACCAATTGAATGAAGATCATATGAGTATTTATAATATTGTTTTCATATCCGAACGAAACAAGAAACGGGTATTACTTTTCGTGTATGGACATGGTGGGTCTAGAAAAACGTTTTTGTGGACTACATTGCTTGCATATTTCATGTCCATTGGAAAAATTATTCTTGCGGTAGATGCTTCTGGAATTGCATCCCTTCTTTTACCTTCTGGAAGAACTACTCATTCAAGATTTAATATCCCAATCAATTTGGCTGAAAAACGTCTTGTGACATCAAAAAAAGGACATTACTTGGAGATCTGTTGAAACAGACGTCTATCATTATATGGGATCAGGCACCTATGAGTGATCGTCGATGTTTCGAGTACCTAGATCGATCTCTTAGAGATGTGTTAGACTGTGAAAAACATCCTTTTGGTTGCATTTCCATCCTGCTTGGTGGTGATTTCTGCCAAACACTCCCAATTTCCCCAAAAAGCATGTGAACCGACATTATTGCATTAACCCTTCCAAATTCATACATGTGGTCATATTTTGAGATCTGTAGACTGCATCAGAACATGCATTTAACAAACTATGACGGTGAAGTAAGTGACGGCCTATCCACACCCACTTTTGCAGAATGGATGCTTAATACTGGCAAATGGAAACCAGACTACCGTCGCCATGAAACATGGTATCTTAGTGTAGACAAATATGTAAGCAGACACAACCTCACATATAAACACTACATTATCATTATTTACTGTTATTAACATTTAACTGCATTTCAATACATTAGGGAGATGCCAAAAAAAATTAGGACAAAGGACGAACCAGGGGTACATATAATCAAATTTTCATATCTCTAGCTGCTATACAATATGAAAGTATATGTGTCCCTGTTTAGATGAATATCAGAAAGTTATAGAAAATGAAATCTATGTGGATGTCGGCCTTGCTTCCATAATTGTTCCCCTTCCCCAAAGCCCATCTCCTTAAGCTGGTTTCGATGTGTCTCCAAAGCCCATCTCCTTAAGCTAGGTGACCCCCCCCCCCGGTATTATCCATGTATACATATAAAACATCCAATATTAATATCAACTCCACTTCTAAGTACATTACATTTAAACAAACAGACTTCGTTGGTGTGCTAACAAAGATCAAAATTGCACAAAGCATGATGGAGAAGAATTCATTCTTCTAGTTCTTGTGGATGAAAGGTAGACAACATATAACAAATCATTAACTTTTTCTTGATTGTTTTTACTGCTCCTAATATTTCCCCTATACATGAAATTCAGTGGCGATGAAATGCGATCAGTTTATGGAAAGAATGCATTAATATTCATGAAAAATTCAGACGTGAAGAGTCGACAGCTCCCCCTGTAACAACAGTCGTGGCCATTACAAATATAAAGACTTCAACAATTGTTGGTAACAATAACGAAAGGGAAACATAAACTCTAATAACAATCTCAAAAATAATTACATCCACCTCTTCAAAGCTAATGACATACATCACTCATACATATTGCAGGAACTCTAAGATTCGAATCATCAACTGCCATATATGTGTATGTAAATCCCCCCATCCAGGAGACAATAATTCTAATTGTCTGTTATACTTAAATGAAAATTAGGTACACTACATGTTAATATCAGAAATTCAAATCCAAAATCTGGCTACAGCCTTACAGGCCCCACACCACCAACGTCCATAGTATGTGGACCACTAACAACATTACATGAGCTAACCAACAAGATTCATACTGACCTACTGGTAACTCATCTACTTCAATAACAGGTTTCTAACATATCATTAACACAATCACAATACTATAACAATCTAAAATTACAGGATAAAACATTCAATGTAAAAGCTGCACTCACAAAAATCACATTCAAAAGATTACTGGTTCCAAGTATTGTGCGCAATATGCAAAGATCCGATTTTCAGGAAAAGCAACTTTGGTTTTGTAGCGCTCATGGAAAATCACAATCACTTATATTCCCGTAAGTATCATTATGCCCCAAAAATATAATAGCTGAACAACCAATTTATGCTGACTTTTATTAATAAATACTAACTATGTTCTGGTATAAACTATTTGAAACTCTGACGGATCCAACAGGCTCAATCACTGCAATCATGACTGATACTTCGGCCTGAAAACTAATTGGCACCACACCAGAAAAACTGATGACTGATGATCATGAAAGTTATAGAAATCTCCTGCCACCAATCATCAATGATCATAAGGGCACATCAAAAAACATGTCAATTCAAATGCTAAAAGGTTCCACAACCAAAAACATACGTTTCATAATTGTTGACATGCATGAAGTCACCATGCCAAATCAGACACTTACACCAGTTACACTAACACAAGTTTCAGTACCTGCAATGACAGTGACACCAGTCACTCCAACACAACTTCCAGCCTCTCCAAATATTTAAATTGATTCTAACCTTGGAATGACATCCACAACTTCTGAAACCCCACATGCAGCAAAAAAATTGACATACGACATCGCTGGTATTTACATATACATTCTATTCACATAAAAAACAGACAACTTCCAAATCTGCTTTTATTGATGTACAGCTGAATCCGTACCAAAGAAACAACAGAAGCGAGGACGCAAACTAGACTAAATAACAACGTCACATCATGATCATTCCAACCTTCAGTTTTTTTTCTCGTCCTATAACTGAAGTAGTAGATGTCATATATAAAGTATTTAGGTCTCCAAAATATTTACTCTAACAGGATTACAATAACGTAACCACTATTTTGCACTACGGTATAATCCAAAAACTAATGCCTCTTTTGTATGAAAGTAGTAACAGAAGATCACAACTAAAATATTTTTTGCTATATTGCACAGAAAAAAAAATCAATAACTAAAAAATATATAATCTAATAATAATAGATTTGATCAACATACTTACACTTTTTTCATCTTCATTCCAGTCAAATACTTGAGGAGTTAAAAATTAATATGATATAATGATGATTACCGAAAATAAAGTAAGATCATTTAAAACTTAACAAGAGATAATAAATAACAACAAACGTTAGATAAAACATTAATATTTTTGGATAAATCCGGCTCATATGACGATCTCCAGTCATCACAACCTACTCTAACCAATGACCAAACCCATCAAATTACCTCGGTATATAAGAGAAAAAGACTTCATTAACTAAACCAATGTCAATAAATTTAGTCGTACGAATGAAGAACAAAATAAAACTTCTATAACAACTCACATAAAGATAACACAAAAACAATAGTTTTTAACATACTTTCATCACTTACTGTATGTAACATTAAAAACATATATACATCCATCCAAACAATATATATATATATATATATATATATATATATATATATTATAACCTACTCCTCCTAAATAGGTATAGCATTGCCACCAAATTCTCACCTTAAGTATACACGTGATAAGACCAACCTTAATACTTTGCCACCACTTACCAAACAACAATAAACATTCACGTAATCAATTATATAAGAAACACATCGTTACTTCATATAAACACATCAAAATACATACTACACTATAGAAATATGAAGGATATCCAAGTTCGACAGATTTTGCAAGAACTAATTAGCCATCTACAAGAAGTTGGGGACATAATGGAGGCGGTTCAGGTAACAATTGAAGGAGTGAAGATCTACAACGATTTTAAAAATGGTATCCCTATAGAAGAAGATGACACCAACTACAACATTACTAAAGAAGTTCTCGAATATGCAAAAATGGAGAACCTGTCCATACAAGATAACACATCGTTTATGTTGGCGTCAATTCATAAGAGAATTGGCAAATATAAACAGTTGATGAAGAACTTCATAGAGGAGTACCTGTTTTATGCATGGCCATCTTTCGAATACCTATTATGATATCCCTTTTATGTATGTTGTCACTTTCATGAACTATGTCTACATGTAGCATGAAATAAATAAATAAAGGTATATCAAATAATGTTTACACCTGTGTTTAGTAAAATATTTTCTATATTAATAGCTTCCAAATAAAAGCTATCTTCAATTGCCATAAATATAGTTATTAAATAGATGCCACCTTGAAAACCATGCAATCGCATCATTAAACTCCTCCTAACCACCAAATCAGACCTGAGGATCTCTTAAACACCGAAAATTGGAATAAACATAAATACGATATAAATGTTATTACTTCTCTTCTAAGCCAGCAGATCACGTTAATCGACTATAAAAGAGAACGACCCTTCGTTCCAAATCCTCACACCAACACAGAAACAACTCCTCACACAGAAAATGAAAAGCACATCCGTTGAAACGATGCTCCAGACGTTATGCACCTACTTGCGCAAAAGGATTAAAATGTTGGAGGCAGCCATGACCAATATTGAAGAAGACATGGGGACAATGAATGAATACGACGCCAACCTACAACGCCATCCACGCTTCACTACCTTCGCCATGTGTGAAAAACTTCTAGCAGATGCAAATGCTGAGGACGGATACATGCAGGACAACATCTCCACCATGATTGCAAATGTGAAGAAGAGAATTGCAACCTACAAAACCATCATCAAAGAGCTCCCATACAACTATGCATAGGTGTCTGCTCTTCAAATAATGACCTCCTTTCTTTTGCGTAACCAACTACATGCAGATCTATGTAATCTTTTGCTAATCTTTTGCTTATATCAGTAAAGGTGATGATGTTTATCCACCTGCTTTCTATGTGATTAATCCTAATCATAAATAAGTTCATATTATCTATTTTGTTTGTGCGTTACATTTTATTATTAAAATAGTTATTTTCAAGAAGAAGATGAGTGTCAATGTTTTCCCACACATCAGAACGCAATCATCGATCCAAACTACTTTATCGGTAAACAACTTTATATACTTATAAAACAATGTGAATATATTCACAAAAACCATAAGAACTATACAAAAAAAATTAAGGAACAAATCACTAATACTAGAAAGGCAATACTTGCATTGATAAAAATAGATGAACAAACGTACACCATTTTATTATTAAAATACAAAGTTACACGGATTTACAACATCCACTATACAAGAAAACAAAGTTTTGGAACATCAAAACACATAACCAACAACAGCTAACCCCCGCAACGCGGGGACACTTTCCTAGTTTTATGTAACTTTGAAATGTAATAAGGTACCAAAATCACAACTAATAAAATATCAAGACTTTAACTTTAAAAATATGAATCGTAAAAACTGTTAGATCAAAATTTCTTGAAGGGTAAAATATATAAATGTGATAATTGTTATGACCAAAAGCAAAATCTCTATTTCCTAAGAGACTCTTATTTTGCATGTTGTATTAATCTTGTAAAGGTTATAATGTGATTTGGTTTTAGCCATTTTTATTTAAAAATAACAGAATAAACTGAACCGTTACATGACCATTTTGGTAATATATATATATATATATATAGATATATATATATATATATATATATATATATATATATATATATATATATATATAGGGCTAGGTTATAATGTGGATGGACAATTATTGTGTGGACGTGTGGACAGTGCGATTCTATGAGAATTACTAAGATAATACATTGTTTAGTAATGCGAATACGTTCAACCTTACAAAAATATCGTCATTTTCATGCATTCTTACTAATTCTTATTCATTTTTGTTCTCACAAATTGTTTTTCACTCATTATCATTCTGACAGAATACGACTCAATAAACATTCCGACAACATTCTGACAGAATGAGAATAATATTAAAAAGTCTATAATAACCTTATAGACGATTTAATTAGTGAGAATGTGTGATAATGACAATAGTTATGTAAGATTGAACGTATTCATATTATTAAACAGCATATTTTCTTTGTCATTCTCACAGAATAGTACTGTCCACACGTCCACACAATAGATGTTCATCCACATTTGAACTTAGCTCTCGCTTCTCTCTCTCTCTATAGATATATATATATATTATATATATATATATATATATATATATATATATAGATATATATATATATATATATATATATATATATATATACATATACTCCAAAGTTATCACTATTTTTGTAAGAAAACCAAAGTAAATGTACAAAGCTATGTCTACGTACACATTTTGAAGTATAATACGCTAATAAGAAAATAATTGAAAATGCAATGCTAAAATAGAAAAAATAAAAACAAAAGTACGATGTTATAATTTTTAATATATCAAATTGCATTCCAATTTTTTGCATTTAGTCTCTAATTATATTGACACAAGTATTATTTTGAAAGGAGCGTAAAAGACAATGTTGTAATAAAAATTTGAAGCAGGATGCTATAATATACTTATATATGAAAGTACTTTGTCATTTTAGCATTTAACCTGTATTTATATTGACATTAGGGTAAGAGAGAAACCATTATGTTTCCATGAGGTTAAGAAACCATACATTTGTAGATAACATGAAAATACGATACTATAGTACACTATATATAAAAGTACATTGCTCGTTTTTTGCATTTAAACTTTGATTTATTAAAAGAGGAACGATTACATTGACACAAGAGCAAGAGACATTGCTTTAATAGAAAAAAAAATAATACTAATAATAATAATAATAATAATAATAAAACATCCCAATATATTATATTATAAAAGTAGGATGTTATATTATAGTTGTGTATACATCAATTCTGCCTTTTCATTGCCACATACATACACACATAAATAGAAAAAAGACCAATACATAATTTAAATATTGTAGCAATCCTAAAACCAAAAGTCACTACAAGATATATATACATCAATACTCAAGATCATACCAAAGTACAAATTCTTATCATGAGATCATCACCACCCTTTTTGACAATTTGTACTTTATGCTATAAATATTACACACTCCAAAATAAAGTACTTGTTCATTCACATGATATTGGTTCTATTCAAACAAACAAAACTAGAAATTAAAAATGTCAAAGCAATGGGGCTTAATTGTTTTATCTACATCTCATTATTGTACGTGATAATTCAATTTACAATACCAAATGCACACGACACGAATCCCTTCTTTTTGTCAATTTTCTTCTCGTGTTACTGGTGACTCTTCTTGTCATTGTCCCCAAATGCAAGCCCTGAAATAAATGTCATAAATCATAATTCAATTTAAGATATTAAAGCTTGTTTATGGTTTTCAAATAATTAATAATAAATGATGTGTAACGTGTTGTAAACATAAAGTCGGTTTATTTTCTAGACTTAATAACCGTGTGTGTTCCTTTTTTAACCAGATAAACTATCTGAACGAGACTAAATGACCATTTTACCCTTACATTCGAAATAATTTCACAATATCCATAAGAGAGGAAAAAAGTTGAAGGGAAATGGGTAAAAGGTTTGTGTCTAAATACATTAAGCGAGGTTTTTTGGCTTAACCCATTAAGTCAAAGAAACAATCATGTACAAAGTTATTAAGTGCTTAACTTATTAATCCACATTAAGTCATTCTAATATCAAATGATTATACAATCCAAATAGCAAAAGTAAGCTATTCAAACACTAATAATCACTTTAAACACCAAATTATCAAAACATTAAATGCATATGACAAAAAAAAAAACAAAAAATTAGAGAAACGATGAAACTACCCGAGATTTCCAATGTTGGTGATTGGTTCTAAAAGTTGCAATTGATGTTGTTGTTGTTGTTGTTGTGCCTGTTCGGATTGTTGCTGTGCCGGAAAATTATCGCCGGCTAAACCAACCATGGCAGCTCCGGCCGGCTGACCACCCTTACCTTCAACAAACCGCCACATATACCAGGCTCCAACGGATCTATACGGCTGCCATTTTACACATAGTTGCTCCATTTGCGATGGTCTTGGAAGCTCTTCTAATGAAAACAATAACTGCACTCCTTTACGAACCCCCAAATCGCTGACAGGTAAAACGTCGGGTCGATGAAGTGAAAAGATCATAAACATATGAACAGACCATGATCCGATTCCTTTCACCATTGACAGCATTTGTGAAGAGGGATCTATCATCCATTTTCACGATTGATTCATCGGACAAAATGCCGGTTTTGTACTTGTTAGCTAAATCAAAAAGGTAACTTGCCTTGCGCCCAGAAACCCCGATTTGTTTAAGTTGTTGGGTTGTGAGAGAGAGGACGGTTTCCGGGACGACGCCGGTCTCGCCGCCGCAGAGCGTTACGAAACGGGTGTAGATCGATGTCCCGGCTTTATACGCGAGTTGTTGATAAAGAATGGATTTTGATAGGGCTAAAAAGGGGGCTTGATGTGTGTCGAATGTTGGTGGTGGGTGGTTGCCGATTAAGTTTGCGAGGAGTGGGTCGGTGGATCGGAGGTGGTGGAGAGCGGCGGTGATCTCGCCTGGTGCAGATAAGGGTTTTATTATTTTGGGTAAATCTTTGGCGGATTGTGAAGGGTTTCGACGGCGGTTTTTTGTTACGACGGTTGAGGTGGTTGAAAGGATGATGGTCTTTGATGCGTCGGCTTCCGCGATTGTTGTTTGAGGTTTAATTTCTTCCGGGAGCGTTGTTGTGGAGTCGGTAGATGCGAATGAGGAAAGTTTTCGGATTTTTTGAGGGCGAATTGGAATTTTTGGAAGGGTTTGTTGGGGGAATCTGGGAAAGATCGGAATTAGAAGATGGTTCCTCGGTTTGTGGAAGCGGCGGCGATGGTGGTTGTTGAGAAAGAAGGGGTGATTGTGATTGCGATGATGGGGGTTGGGGTCTAGGCTCTTCTGCACCCATGATGGGGTATGCTGTAAAGTTGGGAGTTGCGGATACGGCGATGTTGATGGGCGGTGGATGGTGGTGATTGGGGGAGGTGGTGGTGGTTGTGGTGGCGATGGTGGTATTCATAGGAAGGAAAGAGATCGTAGTGAGTTTCGGTAGCTGGGACTGGTGTATGTTCGTAGGATGTGGTGAAGGAGATGAAAGTCACGTGCGTTCAAGACGAGACCCTGAACATCAAGGTAGGTGTTTGACTTTTTTGTCTCACATTATTATGTACACAAAAGTACACATTAAATCCCTATGTTTGTATTTGGCAAATAATCCTTATGGAAAAATTATTTTCAAGATGGTCCTTTATTTTGAAAACCTTTGCAAGAATGGTCTTTCTGAATGACAACGTTATTTTAGTACGGTTAATGACTAAGGTGTTGTTTGTTTTTTTCCTACAGATCTTCTTGACCTCTTTTGTCTGCGTCACGCAACGGCGCACAGACGTTAAGGCCTGCAGAGTGTTTGTTTTTTTAGAAGCCCACAGATCTAAAAATGTATGTGCTCTTCACCAAGCAGACTTGGGCTTGTGTATGTGCGACCTCTACAGAGTGATTAAAAAAAACATGATGTCCTTCACAAGTATCGTACAGATCATCGACTCCCACAAAACTCACGTCTTTCTTCTTCTCCTCCGTCGACTTCATCTCTTGCACCTTCTTCTTCACAACTGTCGACGTCACCTTCCCTGCCGTCGTCGCCTGCGTAAGAACTTCCATCTGCCGCCGTGAACTGCTTCTCCCCCAGCGTCGTCAACCATCAGCGGTTTCTCCCCAATACAAAAGTCGTCGTCGGT